AAATAATGTTGAAATTCTATGTCAAGAATATCAAAATATGAAATATAAATAAAATGGGAAAAGTTTTTAAATGCAACAAAACATTCCAATAGTGCAAAGTCACCTTCCGTAAATTTTCTGTGCATCTATGAGCACACATATATCCTTTCCCTCTTTCTTCCTCTTTTTAAACATAGTATACATTCTTCTGACCTTGCTTCCTTCACACAATACTTATTCCAGCACAAAGTGCTACTTCAATCTTTTGCACCATGGTACTCCATTATAAGGTGTACTGATTTTTTTTTTTTTTTTTACCAGCTGTGATAGATATTTCAGTTGCATCTAGTCTTTTGCTAACTATAAACAATGCTGCAGTGAACATCTTTATCTACCTGTGTACCTGTGTGGTACAAATTCTTAGAAGTAGGGATCCTGGGTCAAAATGCACATTTTAGATTTTGATAGACATTGCCAAATTTCCTTCCATTGGTTACAACAAAATATGAATGGCATTGTACTACCTGGACACTAGAGACATGTCCCCCTACCCTTTCAGTGCCCCACCAGGCCTTGCATCACCAGAAAGCTCCTTATGCTGCATCTTGACACAGTAGGCTCATTCTCCTGCTTCTCCTTCCCGGTCTTTTACTTCCTGAAAGAATAAAGACCATTTGAAAGACTTAGTTTTCTCGGACATTTTAGAGTAACTTTCCTTAGGTATAATCATGGTCAAGTCAAAAAGCTTGGTTCAATGAATGCCTTATGAAAACCTTAATTGTGCTTTAATTTGCATTAGACTGGGAGAAGATAGCACGTTAGTTTCCTAAGCACAAAACCTTAAATATCTTTCAGAGACAGACAGAGCTCTAGGGTGGTTATGCGGGGTGCTTGTGTTTGAGCTACTTGGATCTCTTCCATGGGTGAATTTTTGCAGTAAGATATGCATTACAATTAGGCAGCAATCAGACCAAATTCAGTGCTTTGTCTCTCCAAAGGCCTGGTGGTCTCTTTGCAACTTCTAGGTGGAGATTAAATTCATATTTAATGAAAGAAGGCACAATCTTTTTATTGAGGAGTGCTCAGTGACTATTAAAAAATATGATCTATTATAAGTCTAATAACTTGAGATTTTGATTTTGGAACATACTAAAAATGGCAAGAATTGCCATCTCATTGTTAAGCTAAGTGGGTGGAGCAATTCTGAGGATAGGAGTAAATTTAACTGAAAAAGAAAATTTAGCTTCACATTAAAATTAGAAGGAATAATCAGTATATCTTTTACTTGTCACATTTGGTTTCCTTCAATGGGTAGCGTTTTTCCTACAGTTAAGCAATGCATTGAAATATTTTCACACTTCAGAGCATGGAAAATGTGATGTACTCCTAAGCCAACGTTTGCATACTAAACACAAATTTAAAACGTGCCCCCAAAATTGTGGTTATAATTTTATTATAAGAATAACCATGACCGTGACCAAATATAAGACACAATAAATATTTCACCTCTAGAAGTAATATTCCTGAAGAGGTGGATATTGTTAAAATATACATTAGATTAAACCACAAGTCTAGATAAGCTGCTGATTGTCCAGTGTCAGGGAAGTCAGAATAAAGTTGAAGCTAAAAACCTATTCTGCTAAATTCCAGGTCATATTCACCAGGACACTTTTTCTCAGGAGCCCAGTGAAAAGGGGAGACGCTGTAAAATATGTACCTAACAAAGCTTGTCAGCAGCTTGAATGGAGCAAACCAGTCCAGATCTGAGAATTCTAGGAAATAAATGAAGTTGAACATTTACTGCCAACAACCCTGTCACAGGGGCCACAGACAACTGGAGCCGTGCAGCTGAGGAGGGGAGGAGTCTGTAGCCAGAGAAGGCAGTGGAACGCACCCAGGTTGGATTATTTATGGTGTGCTGATGAAGCGGCAACTTTCCATATGAGGAACAGCTTAACAGAGGAACAGTCAAGCTAAACTAGGAAGTGGTCCAGTGAGAGAGAGGAGAGACAGGAGAGAGAGAGAGAGCGTGCGCAACAAAAGCGGACGTGAATAAAAATGACAGGTAATAAAACAATACAGATCGAAAATGCTGTAACTTTCAGAAATAATTTAGGGCCAAAAGAGGAGGAAAAAAAAATCTAGTTTTGCTGGCATTGGGACAATTTTCCAAGAAGCAAAAGACATGAAGCAAAATGGATGTGCTGAATTTAAGATCAAGTTTGTCTCCATGCCTTTCTAGCTACAAGTTTGGTTGCTTCTAAGGCTGGTTTATACACAAAAAGGAAAGTGGCAATTTTGTTATTTAACTGGTGTATCCTTTTTTTTTTCCAACAAACATCTGCTGTGCGCCATTCCATGTCAGGCACTGGACCCTGTAAGGCTCTGTGCTGAACCTCTGTTCACAGGTACAGTTCCTGCCCTCATGAGGCTTATTATCCAGTGTGAGAGTTGGGCAAGTCCACCCTCAGCTTCTGGACAGCAACGTGGGTGCTATGATCACAGCTAGAACAGGGCAAGGGCAGGGCAGAGGGGCAGCTGCAGGAAGGAGGTACAATCTGGGCTGTGACCTGGGCAATACAAGCCCCAAAGTGAAGGCTGGAATGGAAATAATTGAGTGAATTTTGCTTTTTATTCTGATTGAATAGACAGTTACCAAACCTGCATGCAATCCAAATCCTAGTTTTTGTTTAAAAATTAGTTCATTTCATGCAAAAATGCAAACTTCTGTGGTTCCTAGTAGTTTCCATTCCTGAATTCTGTACTTAAGATCTGTCTACTCAAGCTTTCTACAATTATCTTTTATATGGTATAAAATACCTCTTCTCCCAAGTCTGGCCAAAAGCCTAATAAATCCCAGCCACCAGTTACCACATGGCCCACGGGTGCCAGGCATTTCATGTGTGTCTCTTTGACTCTTCACAACAGTGCCTTGAGGTAGGACTGTCACTCACATTTCACAGAGGAGGGAATGGAGCCTCGGAGAGGGCCACACACAGTAAGTATGAGAGCACTTTGTTCTATACCACACCACCTCTGGCCTAAGTAGACAGGTTGGGACTGTTCCAGTAACATTTCCACCCCAAGAAAGGCTCTGAGCTGTTCCCAAAGTAACTTTAGCTAAGTACCCTCTTGACTTCCTGCCTCCCCCATAGGAAGCCCTCTTCCCACCATTCTCAATGAAGCACTACTAGTAAGGGCAAGGCATACCTTATTTTGGATGGCACTGGGGCTGTCTGTGTTGTAAGGAAGGGGAGTTTTGAAAAGCTGAGAACTGTAACACTGTACCACAAATGAACCCATACACACTGACTTCCAGAGAGGGACCTATGCCCCACAAGCTTCCTTCTCTTAAAAAAAGAATTTTCTCAAAGATGAGTGTCACTTTTCCATGGGTCCCCACCTGCGCCCTTGCTCTCTGCATGGATCAGTCTCATTGAGTTGCCTATATTTAGTTAGCATATTGGGGCCGCTGCTCTGAGATGCTCTGAAATGTGGATCCGGCCAGAGTGCTGAATCATGAGCCCATCATATCTTCTCCAAACCTTTGCTCTTTTCCCCACTCCTCACTGGGCTTCTTTCTGGAGACTGCCTATGACCTTGCTGTAAGAATATGTGAAGATAAAAGCCATAGTTGGGTCCCTGCACAACCTAGGGGACTTCAGACTGTCCACGAGTCCTGGGTGGATGCATTCTGTCCCCAGTCCTCTGTCTCCATACGTACTCCACACTCACTACTCTGCCTTGGCCAATGGGCCAGCGTTTTTAAAATACGACTTAGCATCTGAGGATTGAGCAGTCTATGAATTATTCCATAGTTTGAATCCAAGTTCCATGGTTTGAATTCAAGTAGTATTCTTTGTAGAAGCCATTTGGTGACGTCTTCAAGACCAATCTTTCAAAAAACAAACTGGGAACTGGTTTGAATGGTAAAGAGATTTCATTATTAACCCAGAGTTCTAAAACTATCAAACACTGGAGGTCTGATATTCCCTATTTGAAACTGGGTAAAGTATGATCGGTAGACAAACCACAACACAATCTTTCAGATATTTCTATCCCTACTCTCTTCTCAAATTTACAAAACTATTTGCAAAAAAGCAAATTTTTCTCTTTTTGTACTATTTGAGGCAAATCATGTCTATGTACACTGGCTTTTAAAACTGGACATTAAAAAAAGATTTAAGATCCACTAGCTTATCAATTAGAATTTAGTTCTCTGTTTACTTCCTTGAGCACAAAATATTATGAACATGCCTGGGCTGAGCTTCAGCAAACAGGGCTGGCCACACGTATGGTGCTTTCATCCAAGGCTGCGATTATCAGTAGGATGAGTGCTGAAGTCCACTTTTCTAAGTAAATGATTTTGCAGCCAGAATGGCCAGAAACTTCAAATGACAACTTTACTGATTCGAGGTAATTTCCCAGGAATTTAGGAGGCAATCATTTACTCTTGACTTTCAAAGAGAACCTGGGCTTGAAAGGCATAGTTCCATTTAAAATTGATCAGCTAGCGACAACCCTCTGAAGTTACTTGGGAGTGAGGGAAAGCAGTTGAGACCTCTATACATCTGGACTGAACTATCTAGTTCACTTGCCAGGTTGTAAATTTTCTGTCCCAAAGACAACTTGAAAATAACTTTTTACCAAGCAAGTGGATTTTTTATTAGCTGAAGTACTAAATTTAAAAAAATTATTTTGATATGGAACACTACAGCTGTAAGACTTGCCAACAACTAATCTTCAAGGAAATGTGCATTTAAGAAAATAGTTAAATTACAAGAAACAAAAATCTGAATCCTGAAAACATGGATTTCAAATTATTGCAAATGACAATCTTATTCAAATACTGCTCTGTATTATATTCAAATAAACCAGAGAATTTAATAAATATCAGCATTTACCATCTAACATGGTACTATGGTTGAGACTAAAAGGGCTTTGCTGCCTGGGAAGTTTTGACATTCATCAATCTATATAAGCAGAAAACATCTGAACAAAAGTAAAGACACATACACACGTTTTCACTGAGAGCTGTATTTGAAGAACAGCCTATACTCCTCTAGATTTCAATTTCCAAATTTTCATATTTTTATTTATTCTGAAAGTCTAAGATATTAAGAATCAGTACATATGATTTTAAATTAAGACAGCACATGGTTAGAAAAAATGCTTGGAGAACATGTATTTTATTTCCTAAGACAATAAAACCACATACAAAAATCACTTCTGCTCACTCGCGCTGATCCCGTGTTGTCTGATCTTTGTGATTAAGCACCACCATAAAGCATGAAGCTCTGAGGGAAGGTGGCGGCAGAGCTCTCTCCTCAACCCCGGCCCGCCTTGGGGTTTCATTTCTCAGCTTCACTGGAAAGTTCAATCAATCCCTGGTTGGAGACCATATTGAAAATAGCCCACAGTTTGGAAGGGTCCTCACAGTTATGCTGGTGCTCCCAGTGAAGGAGGAGGTCCTCCTTCCGCCCCAGCACCTCTGCACAAAGGAGGCAGTTAAAGCCTGAATGGGACCACAAGAGGACCGTGTGGAGGCCGGGACATTCAGGGCCCTGGTGGGTTTCCCTCGGCTTGTTGGTTTCTGACTGGGGTCCTTCGTTTTCCATGAGCATTTCCATGCCGTTCTGATGATGAAGGTGGAGCTGCCTTTTCAGTCTCGGGCATGCGTGTGACTCCTCTTTGGAGGAATGAGGCTTCTCCGGCTTCCCTCTCTCAGGATGCCGTTTCCAGCTGGGGCTAGTGTGCTGCACCAGCTCTTCCTGAGTCCCATTGCTTCCTGGGAAGGTCCCCTCTTGCAGCCTGCCCTGAATTTCCTCTTCGTGAACATAGAGCAAATGAAACTTTATTTCCGCAAAAGACTGAGCAGTAATTTGACAACGGCCACATTTGATTTGTAATTTGACTTCGTCTGCCTGGTTTAGAAGGAAGTCTTCTTCCAGGTTGGACTTATTTTCCCTGAAAAGGACAAAAATAGTGTACCTAAGATTTCATGGAAAAACACAATTGGAACCTTCCCTCGCAGTTCTCAGCCTTCAGGGATCTAAAATATACACCGACAAGAAAGACAGGGGCTGGGGTAAACAGAGAGCACCTGAAAAGACAAAGGACCGCAGTAAACACCAGCTGTCACTCCTGCTTGTGGCCACACATTTCTCCAGCTACCAGGTTCATTTAGTAAGAGTCCTTCTCTTCATGCATCTGTCCCAGGCTAGCTAACTTGTCCTCGGTTACCACAGGGACAGGAGCAATCACGTGGAAGAGTCATGTAAGAGCGGGTGAAGGGTATGGCAGCACCTTTGGCTCTGTTGAAGGTAACAGTCTCACCCTACCCGCTGTGGCTCTCCCTAACCTTGAGCACCAAATGTAATTTGGACATTGTACCTAAAAATCAAAATCTAACTACAGGAAAACAAGGAAGAAGTGAGGTTTCATTGTTCATTAGTGAAAGGCACAGCGGTCTTAAAGGGGACAGAAATGTCTAAGAAAAATGAGAAACTATAGAAAAGCAAGGAGAAATAGGATAGGTAGCCCTTACTTTTATTGAACATGACAGAATGAGCCAAAGTTGAATAGAAGGTACTGAGAGCAATTGGGACAACTGAGGAAAAAAAGGGGCAGGGATTGCAGAGCCTGGAAAAGGTTTACTTCTCATGACGCTGAAGAGAGGTAATGCCATGAAACACTCTCAGTCGCCTCAGTGGAAACAGATACACACGACCCAAACTGAGCCGTTTTCCAGCTTCATGGCTGCTCTCACGCCTGCCTGCCAGGCTTCCAAATTACTTAGCCTATTTGTTTATAATGATGGCAGGGGCAGGCCATCTGGAGTGGCCACTGCCGTCACGCAGGCTGCAGCAAGGAGGTGCGAGGCGGTGGCAGGAGGGGCTGCAGGGGCAGCAGTGTGGTGGGGGGACCCCTGTGCCCCATGTCCCCAAGGCAGCTGACTGTGCTATCCCCATCCTTACATGGCCGGGCAGGACCTGCTCCCAGGCCTAGGGCCTCTGCTCTGGCCTCAACCCTGTTCCCTGCCACATCTCGGGAGCCAGCAAGCACCCGTCTGAAGGTGTAGCCAGGACTTGCGGGGTTGGCCTTGAGAGCATGGGGTTCACCTGTGTGGGGCTGGCCAGGGCCACCATGCCGCCTGCACCTCGCCTGCTGTTGCTGTGGGGAAAACGTGGAGGGGAGGTGGGCAGTCCCTGAAGCCCACTGTCCTGGGAGCTGCCACGATGGGGCCAGGGTGAGTCACCTGCCAGCAGGGGAAACAGCACAGTGGGGCAGGGAGGAGTGCGGAGCGAGTGGCCCTGAGGCGGAGCTGGGCCGGGGGCAGTGTCTCGCTCCAGGGAGCCAAGTGGGAGCTGGGGTTGAGCGGCAGCCCTGCCCCTTCCAGGCTGGCGGGGTGGGAGCTTCCCAGGTGCAACTGCAGCTGCCCAAGCCGCAGCTGTGACCCGGCACCCCTGTGCTCTTGGAAGCTGGGAGCAGGTGATAACCCTCCCGCCCTCCCAAGCGTCACTGTAGCCACCCTCCTGTGGCTGCAGATCCAGGCATCTCTGCACTCTCAGGGGTCTGGGAAGGCCCCTTTTCCCACACAGGCTCAGAAGTGCCTGCTCCTGCTGCCTGGCTTCTCTCTGCTGTCAGCAGCTGCTCCAATCTTAAAGCAAGGTTGGGGCTGAGCCTGGACACTGCTGTAACCTGGCTGGGTGTGCACACACTTGAGGCGGCACTGACATGCCAGCCCCTACCACCTCAGTCGGCTCCGGATTTTGGGTGCAATGAGCATGGGAGGGAGGCTGACGAGAGGGCACTGAGGATAGCTGGGTGCTGGCCTGCAGGTGCCCCTCAGCACTAACAGCCTAGGTGCCATAAACAGAAGCAGGAGGCAGAAAAGCTCCTGAGTGGAAAGGGGCAGGTCCCTGGTGAAGTCCCACCTTCAAGCCAGGGAAGCTTGGGGGCCAGGCTGTCAGTCATGTGGACCGGAGTGGGAACCTGTGGTGCTTTTCTGGGCCTGTCTGTGACCACCCATGGACCAACCGGCATGCACTTCCTCCCCTCTGAGGCCCATAAAAGCCCTGGACTTAGCCAGACTTGAAAAGACAATGGGATGACCGGCGGCAGAGAGCTACCCTCTCTGCTAAGAGCTGAATGCTCATCGGGACAACCTGAGTACAGAAAGGAAGTGCCCCCCTGCAGTTCAACTCTGAGCTGTTCTATTGCTCAATAAAGCTCCTCATCTTGCTCACCCTCCACTTGTCTGTGTACCTCATTCTTCCCGAATGCAGGATAAGAACTTGGGACCTGCCAAATGGTGGGGCTAAGAGAGCTGTAACACAAACAGGCTGAAACCACCCCTTGCTTACCACATTGTCGGTGAAGAGGAGAGAAAAACTGTATCCTTTTGGGAAGCTCAGACCTGGGAGCTCCCTGAGCCAGGGCCTTGACTCCCTCCTTGGGGCCCTGAGGTTACCGGGGTATCCAAGCTTCTGGGCAACACTGCGTTCCCGGTGCCAGCCATGGAAGCTGCTTGCGATATGCCTGGTCCAGCCATGGGCTTGCAGGGAGCTGGCACCTGGAGCCCCCTGCCCTGCAGCAGCAGCTGGTGTGCCTGCCTATGTGCAGTGGCCAGAACCCATGCTCGCTCACACACCCCTCACCATTCGGTGCCTGGCTCGCCCTTGGCAGGCATGTGATCTAGGCTGACAGCATGAGCCGAGTGCACTCTGCCAGGCCCAGTGGGTGGAATGAGCCTAGTGGGCCAGAGCAGAACTCAGGCTACGGCGCCACTGGCCACAGAGGTTTCCAGCTGGTGAAACGACACCCCAAGGATCCCTAACAAAAACACTAGGAATCAGTGCCTGCAAAAAGGAATGACACCAGAAAGAGCTAACCCGACCTGATAAGAAAAACAGGGCAAATGAAGACGGTGGGGTGTAGCCACCTTAAGGTAGGGTCAACGTGACAGACCCACCCACTCTGAGTCCCCACCAAGGGTCATGCCGCATTTTGGGGCAAATGATGCTGTTTAAAATGTTGCAAATTCTGTGAATGTGATTTTGGGAGAAATTACTTGTAAAGACCTCTGGAACTATATACAATAATTTACCAACTAGATTAGGGTAATGACAATCATGGATGATCAGAAACCAGAGAGAAACGAGATTCTTCTTCACAGAACTGAGAGGTACAGATAGCTGCTATATGAAATCTTAATCCAAGAGATGTTTTATAAACTCTTTCTGAATATGAAATCTTCCCCTCTTCCCCAAATCCAAACAGGCTGTCGTGCTGGGCTTCCATCCCATCAGTACTCACCTCTCCGACGATCCCTGTGCGCCTCGCACACTCGGGTCTCTGTTCTTTGGTATGTCTCCGGGCTGCTGTTCACTGGTTGCGGGCTCAGTGCTGATCACAACTCTATGCACTTCTTTCAGATGGCCAAAATAGACTCGGACGTGACCAAACACTTTTGCGCAAAACTCACAACACATGAGTTTCTTCAGACGGTTCTCGCCATGATGAAGTTTCATGTGTGTGCTCAGGCCGCCAGGACGTACGTAGGACTTGCGACAAATCCGACAGCTGTAAGGCCGTCTGTTGGTGTGTGTATTCATGTGGTCTCGAAGGTGCTGTTTGAACTGGAAGTGGTAGTTACAGATGTGACATCTGTGCCAAGGCTTCTTAATGCCAGAGAATCCATTTCTGAACACAGAGCTGGGCTTAGGGGAAGGGCTGTTGTCCTGCTTACAGCTGAGGTATTTAGGAGTGAGTGAATTATTTAACAAAACATCCTGACCTAGGCCCCCATGCATCTGGGATTGCAATGTAGTTGGAGAAGCCAGGGGAGCCAAGGTGGATATGGCCATGATAGGTTTGGGCATAATGCTACGATATTTCTTCATGGCCTCTGGCTTTTGGTCTCTGCATTCCTGGGGATCAGTTTTTACTCTTTCTTTACCATCTCTACATTTATTAATGATACATTTCCTCCTTCTTCCCGGAAATGCCAACATTTCATCTGGTACCTTCCGTTTTCTTCCTTTTCTCTTTGCTGCTCCACTGTTCAGTTTCGTGTTGTGGCTGAGATCAAATTTGGTGGGTGGACAAAAGGCACTTTCACAGAGACTCTGCTGTGACACTTGTGGAACAGGCATCTTGCTTGCCACTTTGGTGGCTGCACTAAAGCCTTCTGTGGTGGAAGGCATCTTATCACAGTCTGCCTTAGGTCCTGGTAAAGAATAACCTGTGATGTTAGTATCTGATTTGGTTTCATAAACCTCTGCTGCCTTCATTCTTGAGTAGGGTGGGATTGGCAGTTTCCCTCTGGGGACTGAAGAGATAAACTGAACTGCATTGCCAAGAATGGTTGCTGATAAACTGGTCATGGTTTCTGCAAGATCAACTTGTTGTTTAAGTTTTTCACTGGCAACAGCAGAAGGTTTACTAGATGTTTTCTTGCTTACAAAGTATGCTTTCCCCGAAAGACTTGTGAGGTCCTGCTTGGCAGGCTCCTCTGGTGTGGATGATGCTGAGGTGGGAGGAGGGTTCGGACTGCCATGGGTGTTGGTCACTGGTGGTCTCAAGTCCTCATGGTCACTTCCATTGGTCAGTGCAGCTGTGCCAATGCTGGCTGGGGCTTGCTCTAGTGATGGCACTTCCTCGAATGGACTGGGTTTGCAAAGGAGTTCAGGGTGGTGAGGTGGGGAAGGGGACATCTGAGGACACATTTGGGTTTGGGCAGGAGCTTTGCTAGAGCCACTCTTAGGAAAGATCAGGCGGGGTTTCTTTCTTGATCCTTTGCTATTTCTTGGGGGTTGATATCGAGGAATAGGAAGTTTCACATTTTCAGGTAGGGACATTCTGGGTTTCTGAATGGGCTGGGCTGAGGCAACATGTGGCAGAGCAACAAGAGAAAATGTCCCCTCCTGGCCAGCAACCTGCATCAGAGCATAGTTCTGGGGAGACATTCCCAGCGGCTTGGAATTGAAGGATCCCAGATTCACCTGATCAGAGAGTGATGGAGAATGACATGGCACCATTCTGGACGTTAGGACTTTGGGCACAATTTTGGGTGCAATGGTCCTAAACTGACTCTTATTCTGCAAACCCTTCTTACTCTGTATTGTTCCAGAAGGGATGTTTGATTCACCTGCAATGAAAAATAAAACATAAAGAGTTACTATATGTAACTGTCCTATTAATGAAACTTCAAACAACAAGCATCTTATTTATTCTGCCCAGAACAGATTCCTTGACCTATCTCCAACTCTTCTGGACAAACTCTTGTGTCCGTCAAGACCAGCTTGAAGATCACTTCCTGCCTACTTCCCAAAGGATCACTATATTCCTCTATGGCTCCCTAGCTCCTGATATGCAATTTACCATTTTCTGTAATAATTTATGTGTTTATGTGTATCTCTACTACTCAACACTGCTTGACAGTGAAGATTCCATCCTTCTCATCCATGTATTCCACAAGCCCATCCTCTGCATTTAACCTGTCCCCACTCATTTTCACAAGCAGGGGAAACCCTACCTTCTTTCCTAATCTCTTGAGATGCAAAGGCCCTCGTCTGGAATGTTGTGCTATGTATTTTCTTATTTTATATACACGTTCTGCTTTCCCAATTAAGCTTAAGCTTTGTGAGGGTAAAGCCTATATTCAATTCATCTTGATATTTCCCACTGTATCCTTTGTATGAAACAAGCGTTTTTTGTATCAAGCTCACTTTTCACTCAATTTCAGAATACACCATTTGACCCACTGGCCGTGCAATTTGCTTTGCACGGTGGACGAATTCCAGACTGAATGCTAGCTTTGTTGCTGTTTCCCCATGTGACTTGCGAATTTCTTCTCACACTTTTCAAACTGCTTATGTGTGCTTTTGCAATTAAATCACCAGTATGAAAAAAGCTGATGTGACACCTTTAAAAAATATGGAACAAAAACAAAAAGATACAAAGTGATAAGTGAAGACATAGAGACAACATGAAACATATGTGAATGGCACAAAAAGCACCTTCTAGGATACTAATAGGAAAAATTTAACTGATAGAATAACATTTCATTCTTTCTGGATTTATTAGCCTGACCTACCAGACCAATTACTCCTACCTTAAGAGAACAATAAAGGAAACATTTTGGTGCCTTGCTTCTGAAGACTGAATTATCTATTTTATTCTCTGAGGTCTCAAGGTCACAAGACCTGGGTGCAGAAAAATTTCTAATTTCTAAGTATCTCATATTTTTTTTTTTTTTTTTTTTGAGACGGAGTTTCGCTCTTGTTACCCAGGCTGGAGTGCAATGGCGCGATCTCGGCTCACCGCAACCTCCGCCTCCTGGGTTCAGGCAATTCTCCTGCCTCAGCCTCCTGAGTAGCTGGGATTACAGGCACGCGCCACCATGCCCAGCTAATTTTTTGTAGTTTTTAGTAGAGACGGGGTTTCACCGTGTTGACCAGGATGGTCTCGATCTCTTGACCTCGTGATCCACCCGCCTCGGCCTCCCTAAGTGCTGGGATTACAGGTGTGAGCCACCACGCCCGGCCAGTATCTCATATTAATCAAACTTCAATTCACATTTTCTAGGTACCTACATTATTCCAATTATTATTATTCCAAGGATTGGCTACTGCAAGCTCACAATCCTTTTTCTGAAATTTTTGGAGAAAGATACGGTTTGGAATTCACATTTTCAAATTTTGGAAAGTAGTAAGATGCATATACCAAATGTTACATAACTCCCAGCAGAATCAGCAAGGCACCCATAATTGAACCTGTTACCACTTCTGTAGCAAAATATGCAAATATTCACAAGCAAGACAAATGAAGATTTTAAAATTGTCTTATTTCAGTTCAAGTTTTTGCTTCCGAATGAGTTTGGTCCCCAACTTTTGATAAACTTCTGTTTTCAGAGTTTTTACATTTTAGAACTCGTGGTTAAGGGACTGAAGACTATCTGTTCAGAGGATACAAGGTAGGTAGCAGACAATCTAGTGAAACAGACAACTGAAATTGTAAAATTGGCCAGGCATGGTAGCCCACGCCTATAATCCTAGCACTTTGGGAGGCCGAGGTGGGTGGAACACTTGAGGCCAGGAGTTAGAAACCAGCCTGGCCAATGTGGTGAAACTCGGTCTCTACTAAAAAACGCAAAAAAATTAGAGGGGCATGGTGGTGGGTGCCTGCAATCCCAGCTACTCAGGAGGCTGAGGCAGGAGAATTCCTTGAACCCTGGAGGCAGAGGGTGCAGTGAACTGAGATTGTGCCACTGCACTCCAGCGTGAGCGACAGCCTAAGTGAGACTCCCTCTCAAAAAACAAAAAAGAAAACGTGAAATCAACCTTGATTTTAATGCCTATGGTGATTGAATTAACAATTTTAGCAGGAAGTTGATTCTTTCAGCAGAAATGACACCCCTCTAAATAAGCAACCTAGTAGAAATCAGTTGAAATTTATATTGACCAGTTTATTTTTAGAAAGTAATTATTGTTTTGCTAAGAAAAAGGGTGTTATAAAACATATTTCACAGGATAGCCTGCACTAGAATAAGAAGTACACAGACGAGTGCTATGGTCTGGAAAAATCAGACAAAGATAGTTACGTCATTTGTTGTTTTCCTTGTTAGTTTTGTTACCATGAATTGAGCTTATGAGTAAATTGAGTGGTAAATCACTTCACAATAGTCATCTATATGGATTGCTACTTCTTCCTACACAATCTTACTTTTTTAAGTTTTCTTTTCATAGCCTTTAAATTTAAATGTTTTTCATTCTAAACCTCAGCTTCTCATCTTTTTTTTTTTTTTTTGAAGTACCAAAATAAGTTGTAAATAAATACTTTAAATCAGGACAGATTTTGCAGAAGGCCTAAAATTTTTGATGGCTTTTGGTTACCTAGACACGTGGCTTATTAAATAATCACATTAACAGTAATAATGATCTTTGCATTTACACAACAGATCTGGGATGTTGAAGGGAGAGAAAATATTGAGTCATTTATCACTAGTTCTTCCTTCTAATTGAGCAGAAAAGATTTACTGCAAGATGAGCTACAACAAAGGCTTAGTAACACACTCTCTTGAAAGATTATGTGACAGTACCGCATCACAGCCTAAGACATATGACTCACTCATCTTCTCATATCTGTCCTGTGGCTCTTCAGCTCATTCAGAGTAAAGCCAAAATCCCTGCAATGGCTTAAAAGGCCTCAGGCTTAAAAAGGTTCCTGGGAGCCTCTCTGACCTATTTCCTCCACTTGCTCCACTCCAGCTGTGGTAGACTTTTTGCTGTTCTGGGCATGCACCTCTTGAGAGGATGCTCTTGGCTGGGAGGAGCCCTGGCAACTCCCACCACACGGGACAGTCTTCCCTCAATAAATCCCCAGTACTTGCTCCATCATTTCCTTCAAGGTATTACTAAAATGGCTTCTTCCCAAAGAGCTTCTTCTCTGATGACCTTATGTAAAACCATATCCCATTGTGAACTCCCTGCTCCCTCTTCCTGTTCAATTTTCTCTAGAACATATGCTCCATCTATGGCTGGGTGCAGTGGCTCACGCCTGTAATCCCAGCACTTTGGGAGGCTGAGGCAAGCAGATCACTTGACGTAAAAAGTTCTAGACAACATGGTGAAACCCTGTTTCTACTAAAAATATAAAAATTAGCTGGGCGTGGCAGCAGGCACCTGCAATCCCAACAACTCAGGAGGCTGAGGCAGGAGAATTGCTTGAACCTGAGAGGCAGAGGTTGCAGTGAGACGAGATCACACCACTGTACTCCAGCCTGGGTGACAGAGAGAGACTGCGTCTCCAATAAACAAACAAACAAACAAACAAACAAATATTACACATATGGTCCACCTTCCCTAGAATTCCTAGAGGACAGGGAGTTGGTCTATGTCTTCAAGGGCCTACAGTGTCCAGCACATGACAGAGATTTACTAAATATTTGTGGAATTTTTAAAAGTGGTAATAAAGTAATCAATGAGAAAAATAAATAATTCAGTGGTTGAGCCTTGGAAATTTTGTAAACAGTGGGGAAAAAAGACAATTTAAAAATGACCTTTAACATTGCAAAATTTTGAAAATTAAAAAAGAAAAAGAGGATATTTCTCTGAAACATTTTAAAATGTGATTTTATTTACTGCCAGAATAAGGAGCTAATCAACTAACCACCTGAGGAAATAACTAAAGACAATAGTAAATTATGCTGCTGGGGCATAAACTGAAATAGTCAAAGAAACCACAAGCTCTCCAGAAGAAACTGCTTTAAAGAAAACAGACACACAGACAGGAAGAGTAGGGGGATTAGAATGAAGACAGAGGAACAACAGAAAGGGAAAGCAAACCTCAGAGGCAGAGCATGTAACGTCAACACAAAGACAGAAATAACAGACAGCAGAAGATGGAGCTGAAGCAACAACAGCGGTCAAGGTTACCTCGACGTCTCTAAAGGCTTAAGTTAGGAAGGGGCTTCCTATTTTTTATGACCAAGTGTGAGAAAGCAACCTTTTGACAGTTAAGGTTTCCAGAAATGAAACCAGGTAACTTTATAGAGCCATACCAAATGGGAGTGAGCTAATTATGATATATTTGAAGTTAATGTGCTTCAACTGATCTTCAAACGTCTCTACATTATAGTGGAAATAAAATCACACAGGAAGAGCAAGGGCATTCAAAGGAAAAGGAGGCCACTGTGGTCTGGGAACAAAAGGACACTCCTGAGCTCTGTCCCGGCAGTGTGAGCAGTCTGGGCAACCTGAAGTGACAGAGACCCAGACGACAGGTATGATGTCTGCCAAACTGAGTCTGTGCTCCTCAAGGTCCCTGCAATTTAAAGAAGTGGATGCTGTGGTTCATGACCAACGAGCTAATCACAAAGAGTTTGTGGGGTAAAAAGATAAGGTCTTGTTGAGTAAATTTAACTTACTTATACTTGCCTGGATCTATCAGAAAGTACGTACAAGGGTGAGGGTCTCCATGAAGGTGGTGTTGAACCCAGTTTCTCAGAATCATTGAGGATAGGAAACAAAACCAATGTGTTAATAGAAATGCAAGGCAGGAGAAAGACAGTAAGGCCACAGAAACAGAAGGGAAAAAACCCTGGGAATTACTCAAATGTCCACCAACAGGGTGCTAATAAGATAATCT